TTGGTCGTTGTATTGAAGCTCCCGAGAGATACCTATCAGTTGTGTCCATCATGATGAATCAGCATGTCGATAGCAAAGAAAAGACAAAACCTCTTTACGGCAAGGAAAACAGCTCACTATCAAGCTATGGGTAAATAATGGGGTAATGGTGAGCTCTTCTAAAGAACCTTCTATCTCCAGCCCAATGGGTACTCTGTGTAGCACGGGGCTTCAACAGTGGTGAGACAAAACACCCCGAAATGAGCCCAATACATTCATGTAAAATTTGTTTAAATCACGCCATGGTTTGAATCAAATAGATCAATGAGATAAGTGATGGCAACACCACAACCGTTATAGGTGGTTGCCGTGCCTTTGGAAAAACTCTATTGGACACTCATTGCATCAATTTCTTGGCAATACACATAGGGAAACGAGCAAAGGATGTGTCGGCCCATTTAGCAGTAGCAATGAACACAATTTTCCAATTTTGTGACTATTCTATAAGGTTCCTGGACAGTTCATTGTTGTTTTACTTTTGATTTCTTGTTGTTTCTTTTACCAATTTTATTGGACATTTTCTATTTATTTTTTCTTTTGCAAAATAGTTGATTCTAAATACATATTTGTATTTCCATTTTTGGGAGAATTTCTATTTTTTTGCATGTCCAAATATTGTTTGGAATTTCACCAAATGTTCCCATTTTGAAAGATTGTTCACTAATAGAAAATGTATGGGAGTGTTAAAAAATGTTCACATTTTCAAAAAGATTATTGAAGATTTAAAAATATTCGTGTTATCAAAATTTGTTCACGAATTCAGAATGTGTATATTTTATCAAAAAAAATAGAATTTTTGAAAACGTTCGTGTTTTCCAAAAACTTCCGCTCTCCAAAAAAGTAAACTTTTAAAAGAATAAATTAAAACCGGAAAAAACGCACGCTACAGTGCACATGTGCTGCTACAGTGTTCGGCTTGCTACAACACTGGGTCACTCGCCAGAGTCGCTGCAGTCGTACAAAAAAAGATGCGAGCTAGTTGATTAATGGGCCAGCCCGGTCACTCACGCCCGTACGTCTCGAGGGTAATTTGATGCAAAATGCTTCACATAGAAGCTCATGTGTGCATTTGTCAAAAAAACTCGTGTGTTTCTGTGCTCGTGAAAGAGAAGGCAGACGAGGCGCCGGGTGCTTGGGCATATGGGGCGGCGGTAGTAATGCTTGGGCCTGGGGTGGCGAGAGAAAATTTGAAGGGATTCAACCCATAGAGGAGAGAGAGAGAGAGAGAGAGATCCCCGTGGAATGATGACCCAAATCATATGGACTAGAAGCATACAGGCGCCTTGCTGCGTCATTTTAATTTTTTACCGTTTATTTATTTGATTGTTAATTCACGAATAGATTCCTTGCTGCTCTATTTGCGGGCCGGGGTTTGTTGTTTACTTCATGGGCCTTTTGTGTTTTGGCTTCCAAATTTTAGGGTGAGAATACCCTTTATTGCATTGCAGGATATGTCCAGATACTAAGAATCATCATTTACTTGGTAGGATATTACTCAGTTTTTTTTACAACTATTGTTCTTCACAAAAATATATGTTTGCAGCACTGCAAGAAACATATCCAAAGTAGTAGTAGGCATCACGCATATCCCGGACCTACAGGGTTAACCACAGTACTGGATGAACATGATAATAGTCATCTACAAAACTAATTCAAAACTATGATATGCGTAACTAAGGCTTCTGATTGTAGCATTCATCTACAACAATCATACGACTCTGCGATTTGACCAACAAATATTTCGTAACTTACCTTGGTCAAATAATACAAAACACCAACAACAATGATCTGCAATAATGGTAAAAGGGTAGTGGAAGTGAGAGATACTTGGAAGTTGCACCACTGCACCAAAGTATATGGCTTCTAGTTTTCAATATTGATCATTTAGATGTGTAGTTAGAATCAAAACAGGAAGAATACATTTCAAATAAAAGCAATGCTTTGCACCGACTAACGACAGGAAAGGGAATGAATAATATTTATAGCAGCCTCTAAGAGGAAGAGACAAAAATGAGACGATCAAGAGATAATAGTACAAGTGATTAATCTCAGTTTTCATTTGAATGTGTGTACATAAGTGACCCGGTGACAATCAACCAAATTATATTCACAAAAAAACCTAGTTAGCATCTTGCCTTATTGTTTTAGTGCCAATTAAGTTCAATTAGAGAACGTGCTCCTTAGGCGTGGAACCATATGCTAATTAATACTTCCTCCGTTCTAAAGTACTACCTCTGTCCTGGTTTATAGGTCCCTTTTGTAGTTTGTGCCAAATTTTGACTAAAAATTTAACTAATAAAATGTTAATGCATGTCAAGAAAATTTATCTCATTGGATTCGTATTTGAACATACTTTCCAAAAATATAATGTTTGGTGACATGCGTGAACATTTTGTTAGTTTAATCTATGGTCAAAATTTGGCACGAAATACAATGGGGACCAATAAACCCGGATGGAGGTAGTATAGTACATACTTTGTTTCCAAAAGTCAAGCATATCAATGTTTGACCAAGTTTAAAAAATAATCAACATCTACATGTACTTTTATAGTTTATTTATTTAATACTTCAGATATTGATAGTTTATTTTATAAACTTGGTCAAACATAGACATCTTTGACTTTTGAAAAAACTAATATGCACTGCATTGTGGAACAGAGGCAGCATAAAGCATGTCATGTATTAACTGCCTGCTCGAGGTTGTTAATCCACAAGCACAGACATGGTACTCAAGCAGTGAAGCATGAGACTTTCAGATTGAAACCTTGCACGGTGAGATAAAATCCCGTCATAGTCCTGTTTAGCCCCGAAGCGAGCAAGATTGAATTTGAATCAGGCTGCGAAAGAAAGGATGACATAGGGAGAGGAAGGAGGTATGGGGAGTTGTACTACCGACCTTGTGGACCATGGCGTGTTGATGAAAGCGGCCAAGTTCCGAAGACGACAGTCGTCCCTGTCCAGTGCCATTGCTAGCCATGGCATCCTACCTCGTCATCTGCTCCTCTAGGCCCCGAGCGTCGTTGTCGTTGGACGTTAATTACCGCACAAAAGAAGGGGAGAAAGACGAGGCGATGGGCGGTGTGTGTGGCGTGCTGGTGGATTGGCAAAGCCCGTGGTGCTTTGTGGTGCGGAGGAGACGGTGTGCGCCGGGCGCCCGTGCAACCGTGTGGTGCAGAGTAGGCGGTGATGGACTAGCGATGCCCGTGCAACCATATGACACGGAGGAGCAGGTGATGGGCCGGGTGCCTGTGCAACTGTGTGGTGCAGAGGAGGTGGTAAAGGCTCAGGCTTAATGCCATGAGGGAAGGGAAAAAAGATGGAGAGATGGACGGGGCATGTGGCGCGGTGGTGGACCCACGATGCCCATGCAGGCGTGTGACGCAGAGGAGGCGGTGATGGACCAAGCTGGCAGTGATCGTGCGGCTGTGCGATGGTACATCACTTTGACAGGCGTGGATATAGTTGGTCGCATCATTAATTCCCCTCATACCTGGCAGGGGTTTATTTCAAGCCTTTTGGACATGCGTTCAGTGGGAGTAGACGTTTCCGTTTGTGTTGACTTCATCAATCTCAAGATGATGTGCCAGCTCAGTCTCTTGAAGGTGCTCATAGGGGTAGGGTGTGTGTGTGCGCATTCATAGCGATGAGTGTATGTAAGCGACTTCGATTGTACTATGTCCAAAATAACAGAAAAGTATGTTTTTAGTCCCTCAAGTTCTCCAAAAGTATAGACTTGGTCCCTCTCCGTCATGATTTTTTGGTATACATTTGGTCTTTCAAGTCTCAAAACCGGATAAATTTGGTCCAAAACCAGATTTTGAGCACGTTGACCGGGTTTGACCAGATTGACTAGGTTTGACCGATGAATAGTGAACTAAAAAAACAAATTAAAAAACTGAAATTTCGTGACAACCAACATGCTCGGGTGCGCTAGTGTCTGTAATTTTTTATGGTCAAATAACATCTGAGGGGCTAAAAAAACATTTTTTGGCTTTTTGAGCCATTTTTTCCATGTGCTCCTTGAATGTCGAAACACCACAAAAAATTACAGCACCTAGCGCACCCAAGCATCTTGGTTGCCACAAAATTTCAGATTTTTTTAAGCATGTTACTTTTTTAAACACCACAAAAAATTACACGCACCTAGAGCACCCAAGCATCTTGGTTGCCACAAAATTTCAGATTCTTTTGATTTTTTAACTATTTTTTAAACTTACTGTTCATCGGTCAAACATGGTCAACCCTGCTCAAACGTGGTCAAACCCGTTCAACGTGCTTAAAATTTGTTTTGGGTCAAGCTTATCCGGTTTTGAGACTTAAAGGACCAAATGTATATAAAAAAATCTTGAGGGACCAAGTTTATACTTTTGGGAAATTTGAAGGACCAAAAACATATTTTTCTCAAAAAAAAACCTACTGACCCAGTAAAAAACCGTGGTTCTCCTAAAAAAACTAAGTGGTTCGTTCTCTTAAAATAAGACGTGGTCATTTGATCCTTTCATCCCGGAGCGCTCATAGGGCTTACATTCGTGGGAGCTTAGATATTGTAGTGATATGCGAGTTTTAAAAAATAATGGAAAGTTACATGGTTATGGAAGTTTAAATATTACATGGTTATCTCTTTCTTTAGCACGCCCCTTTTTAATACAAGGGTGGCAAAAAAAGATTAATTATGGGAGTAGTCAAGAGGTTGGGTTATACAAGCAAGAGCTCTTGCTGTCCTGGGCTTGGTTTTAGCATGTACAAAATGGAGAGCTTAAAATACACGGATAAGAGCTCCAAGTGTCTGCCACAAAAAAAAAGGAAGGAGAGCTCCAAGTGTTCTGGTCACTTCTTTAGACTGGACATATTACATGCATTCATTCAGGTGTACATATCTTGAGTTTGCTCATGAAATTACATCACAAATCCTTTATTGTAAAAGACAAAGAAAAGACTAGGCAACTACTCTGTCTAGCGCCTCAAAACCATTTCTTGCACCAGCAACCGTAGACAACCAGTAGTACAATTGTCAACGCAAATCCGACTCCAAAGCCTACACCAACAAAAAGCCATAACATGATATCATCTAATGGTGATCCTTCTCGCACAGGAGGTGGCAGCGACGAAGATGGCGAAGTCACGAATGTAAGGTTACATTTCACGAGAAGTGGGCACCCGTACAACCCTCTGTTTCCGCCCTGGAACGAGCTGCTGGTGAATGTGGAAAACTGGCTGCCAGAAGGTATCCTCCCACCGAGATCATTGTAGGAGAGGTTGAGCCACTCAAGTGTGGTCAACATGGCCAGCTCCTGTGGGATCTCCCCCACGAGATGGTTCCAGGAGAGGTCCAGTGACTCAATCCGGGCCAACTGGCCGAGCTCGTGTGGGATCTTGCCTCTGAAAGCATTGTGAGACAAGTTTACCACGTGAAGGTATGTGAGGTTGCCGATTGACCGTGGGATGAACCCACTGAATCGGTTGCATGACAGGTCAACCACCATCAGGTCAGCTGGGACTTTTTCCACCCTCATGTATTGTTGTTTCATGGCCACATCGATCACAACCTGATAATTCGATCTACCAGCTCGCGCATGCACTGTATAATCATATTCCGCGGTTCCATTTGGGTCCAAAACCATGGACCTGAAACTCTTGAATAAATATGGTGGTAGATCGCCGCTGAAGCCGTTTCCTGCAAGGTCAATGATTTGTACACTGGCGAAGTAACGGGCGCTTGAGTTCTTCTCCACAAGAGGGGGGATGCTCACCGGGCCATGAAAATTGTTGTATCTCAACACAAGTAGCTGAAGCTCCTGTAGCTGACCTAGCCATACAGGGAAAGAGTCCACAAAACGGTTCCCTCCAATGTCAAGAGCTAGCAAGCATTGGCATCGAGCCAATGTTCTCGGCAGGCGCCCCTGGATGTGGTTCCCATGTAAATCTATCAGCCTCAGGTTACATGATTCGTCGATCTCGTCAGGCCATGCTCCGTCAAGGCTATTGTCCCTCAAGTTCAGCACAGTGAGGTCATTGCAACCTTTTAGCAAATAAGGCGGCACCAACCCGGTGAGATTATTGCCGGACAAGTCGAGTATTTGGAGAGGATGGTCCTTACGACATTCTGAGTAGGGGATAGGCCCACTCAGTTCATTGTTAGCAAGGTTGACGGAGTAGGCCACCTCAAACTGTCGGAGGAAATTGCTTGGAGGGATGGACGAGAATTTGTTGTTGGAGTAGTCAAGATCATACACGTCGAAAGGGAAAGGCACAACGCCACCGAGCATATTGAAGCTAAGATCGATGAACCTTATATTAACATAGTGCAGGGGTTGACCCACTGTGGTGAAGTGGTTGTGAGAGAGGTCCAAGGAGCTCATGTTTCTCCAAATCCAGTCAGGGATCTCCCCATGAATTTGATTGGAAGAGAGATCCAAATCTTGTAGTTCAGGTAGATATTTAATCACAAGGGGCAACCTTGTTAGGTTACAGCATGCTAGATACAGGATAGAAAGACTACTGTTACTATAATCATCGACTTCATTACCATCCCCGGAGGCAGATAACAATGGGTTATAGGAGGCTGATATCACACTGAGATTCCTTAGCCTCAAGAATGTGTTTAGATCCAAGGTACCCGTGAAATTGTTGTTGTCAAGTTGCAGGGTATGAAGAGCAGTGAGATAGGAAAATGAAGTTGGAATTGCACCTGTCAGCTGATTGCTGCTCAAGTCAACGTCAGTTAGCTTAGCTGATGGATTCTGGAATTCCTCAATAGCACCAGAGAGTCGGTTCATTTGGAGGTGCAATGTCTGCAATGCTGGCTGAGTGAACAAGGATGCTGGGACTGTCTCGGAGAGTGAATTATTGCTTAAATTCACCTCTGTAAGATATTGGTACATATGTCCGTCAAGAGGAACCGGTCCTGTAGAAGAAAATTGTGTTAATCATAAAATTGGTAGACCGTGTAAGTTCAGATATGTTTCTTAGTCACTTGTCATGCCCCCAGGAAAATAAGACGACAACAATGAAAACAGGGTAGCTTGGCTTATGTGGTCGTTGAACTCTCCGGATGTTGCTTGCATCTTGTAAAATTTGAATGAATAAAGCACCCCGATAATCTCGAAAATATCACTATCTATTTTTTAAATAAACCATATGATAAAGCACAAGCCCTCTAGTAAAAATGCCTAAGGAATAATAATCTAAATATTCCGATGGAAATCCTTTAAATCAAGAAGCCTAAATTTGTAGTTCTTGAGTATTTGGTATAGAACATGGGTTGTTTTCTTAAATCTAAACCAAGACAATTCGTTTGTACAATTCTTTTTAGATAATGGAGTAGAGCACCTCCACGGCCTCTCCATTCAAAGATGCACACACACACACACCCCTTGTCTACACAGTCCTATTTTTTTTTCCAAAGTAAAGTAACTAGATCAGGATACACTAAAACTCAGGTGGGACAAACATATTGTTAACCTGTCACTTTTTTGGATATAAACCCCATATATTTTATTTACAGCTGTCATCGTATAATATTTGATAGCAATGTGATGTGCCTAAGAACATGGCAGGATCCAACTATCCAAAAAAAGATGTAACAAATTTGATAGGTACTCCCTTTGTAAACAACTATAACTCGTTTTAGAAACGTCTTATATTTGTTTACAGAGGGAGCAGATGACTTAGCAAGCTGCAATCTTTTCAGAAGTACCAACTTACCCGTGAAGTTGTTGTTGGCGAGCCATACGCGTTCAAGTCGTGTCAAGCTTGTAAGCCATGGAACCTGCCCAGACAAACCGGAATGCTGACAGTCCAGTATGATCAAGTTTGTCAGATTGCTGAGGGCCGAAGGTAGCCTGCCGGAGAAGCTGTTCCCACCGATGTGTAATTCAGTCAGTGACATGAGGCTCCCGATGGAGGTAGGGATGGCCCCAACGAGGTTCGTGCTTCCAAGGTCGAGAATCATGAGATTCCTTAGCCCAGTGATCCCAAGAGGGAATGCACTCGGCTCAAATCTGTTAACAGCGAGCACAAGTTCTCGCAGCGAAGGGAAATTGGAAGGAGTGAACAAATCAGGCAGAGGACCGGTTAAAGAGTTATAACCAAGATCAATCACCGACAAGGAGTGGAGTCTTGATAAGGATGGGTGGAGTGGACCAGAAAGGGGACATTCGTTTAAGCGAAGGATCTGAAGAAGGGGGAAGTGGTTGGCAAGTGCCTTGAAGAACTCCGGTGCTGTGCCGGTGATATTAACTTGCTCTAGATGGAGCTCCTTCAGCTTGCCAAGGTCGCTGGCTACTATGGTCGACGGACGGAGCTCCCATCTGTTGTATCCAAGGTCGAGGGTGACCAGGTTGGTGAGCCGAAAGATATCGACTGGGACCTGAAAATCAAAGTTGCAACCTGACAGGTTGAGATAGGTCAGTTGTGTCAAGCTCTGGAAACCAGAAACCTGAAGCTGGGAGCTGGTAAACGTGTTGGAGGCAAGGTTGAGGTATTGGAGAGAGGTAAGCCTGGAGATGGAAGGGTGAAGCTCGCCGATCTGCAGGTTCCGCTCCGAGAGGTCGAGTGCAGTGACCCTCCCGGTAACATTGTCGCAGCGAACGCCTTCCCAGCGGCAGCAGTCTGTGTCCGCTCTCCACGATGACAGTGTCGTGGTGGATGCCCAGTAGCCCTCGTCGGTGAAGGAGAAGGAACGCTTCACGGTGAGAAGCGCGGAGGCCTGGTCCCTGCGGCAGCGTACAGGGACCTGCTGCGAGGCACTGCTGTTTGCTGAAAGGGCGTGTGAACAATGCACCAGTAGCAGGATTTCAGCAAGGAAACCTAAGGTGACCAACGGTGAGGTGCGGTGAGCAGGCATTGCAGCTGGCGATTTTTCTCGACTCAGGAGAAGACGAGATGAACTCATGTACTTCTTCTCTGCTGCATATGTATATATATAGAAGATGGCAGGTGCAAAAACAAACATGCAACTTGAATGCCCTGTGATCGTACCAAGCACCAAGCCCGCTTTATCTACAGTATATGTACATCAGAGTCTTTGCTCTTGGCCCCCATGTAACACAGTTGCGTTAACAGTTGTGACTTGACGTGGAAAGCTAGTCTCCGCTCCATGCCCCGTTCTTGACTTTGGCCGAGTCTTCGAAGACTGCTGCTTCGTCCGACCATTCGATTGACGGGGAAAGCTAGTCAAGTAGACCACGGCGTCTTCTTTCTTCGAAGTTCATCGCATACAACACACGTAGGGGCGGTTGGCAAACACGCAGAAGAGACTGTCCCGGCCAAATAGTGAAATGTACCAAAAAATAAGTAAATATACTCCCTCCATCTTAAAATGAATGTCTCAACTTTGTACTAACTTTGGTAATTTGGTACAAAGTTGTACTCCCTTCGTTCCTAAATATTTGTCTTTTTAGAGACTTCAAATGGACTACCACATACAGATGTATATAGACATATTTTAGAGAGTAGATTCACTCATTTTGCTCCGTATGTAGTCACTTGTTGAAATCTTTAGAAAGACAAATATTTAGAAACG